TAATTTCTTTGATCAAATCAATATAAATTCAGTATAAATTATGGTCAATCATACAAATGGTGCATTTTTGTGATATGGAATTGTGCATTTTCCTATATCCTTATATATAGTTTAGATACATTATTTTTAAGAAAAAATTGTATAAATCTTATTAAAACATGATTTTTTATAGGGTCTAATTATAATAAAATTTTATTATTCGGTAACAATTCAATTTATTTATATCAAAGAATTTTTTTAATTATAAATGTTATATTTGGGGGACGAAGTCCCCCAGCAAATCGCATATTCTAGTTTTATAGTAATGATCATCCCTAGTGCGTGAAAAACGTGACGAGCTTTTGTGTAAGGCAAATTATTCTATATATTCAAAAACGTGCACTTGTCGGATAAGATTATTGGCAATTAGTCATGCCACATGTAAATCTTTTTTATTCATATAACCAACTTTCATTGTGTAAATTTAAATTTATTCTATTCGAAATTTTTTTTTTTTTTGAGATCAAATACATCAGGAAGTTTTTAGGTGGGTCGGTCCATGTAATTCCACGTGGGTTTGCTCAGAATTCCACACATTCCCAATATCCTACATGGATCCACACCGAATTTCGTGGACTTATGCTGAAAATACCACGTGTTTCGTCACAGGGTATTCGGAAAATACTGGAACTATTTAGATTTCCATATATTTCCACAGTATTTGATGTGGATTTCCATGTGGATTTTAAACGGAAAAAAATTCCTGATGTAAGCCTATTACAAGAATATTAAATTTACTTTCTAGATAGTTTCAAAATAAAAATTAATAAGGATGTACATCTGTCAAGAATGTTATCAAAAAATTTCTAATTTTTCTGATTATTGCAAACCGTGCAACTCTGTACATTTCCGCAATAATTTTATACATTGGACTAGTGGTGATTCAAATCTTGACAAACTTATTCAAAATTCACAACTCAATGCAACATATGAATGGGAATTAATTGAATGGATTGAATACTCAAATCTTGAAAATATTGAACTTATTGCTCATGGTGGGTTTGGGAGTGTTTATAAAGTTATTTGGAAAGATGGTCCAATCAAGGATGAACAAGCTTGGGACTTTAATAAATCAGAATGGCGACGAGAAAATAAAAAGGAAGTGGCGGTAAAGAAATTTCAGAATGCGATTAATGTCAGCTCAGATTTCTTGAATGAGGTAATTTTTTTATGTATGAATATTTTTGAGAATAAAAATTGTTATTCACACAAAATAAATTAAATATATTGCAGGTTAATTTTAATTTAAAAATGAATGATGCAGCAGATTGTATTGAAACTGTTCAAATTTATGGAGTGACATGTGATCCGCAAAATGGAGAATACGCTATTGTTACTGAATTCAAAAATGGTGGTGATCTAAGGAAAATCATCAAAAAAAAATACAGTAATCTAACTTGGAAAATCATCATAGAGATATTAAGAAGAATTAGCTCTGGACTAGTATGTGTTCATGATTCAAAATACTACCACAAGGATCTCCACAGTGGCAACATCTTGAGTACAATTTACTTTGATAATACTATCAGCGATTCAGTAATTTCAGATTTTGGTCTGTGTCGTCCTATGGATCAAAGTTCTACAGATAAAACACTATATGGTGTCTTACCATTAGTCGCACCAGAGGTTTTACTTGGTAAAGAATTCACTGAAGCAGCAGATATTTATGGGTTTGGAATGATAATGTCAGAATTGATTAGTGGTGAACCACCTTTTGTTGATAGAGAATTTGATGATAATTTGTTTTTGGCCATTTGTTATGGTCAACGTCCACAAATTCCAGAATATACATCTGAACCATATGCTGAATTAATGAAACGTTGTTGGGATCCTATTCCTACCAATCGTCCAACAGCCAGGGAGTTATCTAACCAGTTTAAAAATTTATTTGAAACTTTTTATAGTCTAAAATCCGAACTTAGTGAGGATCGTCAGCTAGAAATTAAAGAAGCATTTAGTCAGGAACGGGAAGACAAATGGAAAGCACGATTAGCAGAATTTGCTACAAATTTAATACCCCTGAAAAAATCACAAAATTTGCTTACTAGTAAACGACTTGATTATTCACAATCTCTTTCTCAAAAACTTAGCATTGAAGATTGGAATAAACTAAAATTGACGACTAATATTAAGACAAACCAACAGTTGAAATTCATTTCTAAACAAAGGACATTTTTAAAATTTGTTTAAAAATCTAAGAAAATTTTAAATTTCATGCGAACAAAATAATTATTCAACCGATTTATGATCGTAAAATTTTAAGTTACTAGCATTTGTTTCAATTTCAACTCCAATTTCATATATTTCATGAAAAATACAGTATATTAATATATCATAAAATTTATTGAAATTAATTTTTGTCACGTTAAATAAAAATCCTTTTTACAAAAAAAAAAAAAATTGATCATAAAAGAAAATTTCTTTAATGAGAGTAGTTATGAGTACGAAAAATTTTATGCATCTAAGAGATTTTTTTTAATCTATTTCGAAAATCAAAAACTACCTTTAATCATTAAAAGTTATATTGATGATAGTGTTGCTGGCCGTAACAACTACGGCATTATGATTACAACTTGAGTCGTAGTTTTAATTTCGGATTAACGGCTCAAAATTACGACACATGCTTAATTTCAGCCAAATTTGTAATGCCGGGCGTTAGTGTTTCGATCCGGGCAGAAACCGTCATCCGGATAAATTAAAAAAAATATCCGGTTTCTATCCGGATTATCCGACTCGGATAAAAATCTGGATATATCCGGGTAGAAACCGAAATCCGGATAAAATTATTTAAATTTTTTTTACTGTAGATCATTTTTAATAAATAAAATTCGTGGCATTCATTTAATTTAATGTGGCATTTAATTAATTAAATATATGGCATTTAATTAACTACTAAATTCGTGGCATTTATTAAATTTATGACAATTAAATTTCGTGGGATTGATATAAAAATTTATTTATAGCATTTATTTTTTTATTTATAAATTTAAGTACAGTTAGTTAATGTAGTCCTAAGCCCTAACCAAAATAAATAATTACTGTAATCATTTTCTTGGATTTTTTTGTAATTTCACTTGAAACATATTTTTGAATAGTGGAAAATAATTCATAAAATTATGGAAAACAGTAACGTTCAAGATTATATTACTCTAAGTGAAAATGAAGAGTCCAGTGATGAAGTTACAGAAATTACTCTAATACTAAAAAGAGGATGACCTAAAAAATTATCTAGGACACTTGGAAAATAAAGGATGATAAGTGCTAGTAAAATAAGTTAACTATACTTGAATTAACAAGTCAAATATCAAATAATCCAAATCCCTTTAAACTAACTACTACAATGACTAAACCACAAACAAAAGTGAGTTGGGTATGGGAATATTTTGTTAGAAAACAAAGTGAAAATGGAGAAATACGTGCATATTGTCAGTTTATATCAGATAATGGAGAAAATGTACAAAAAGTTATAAATATGATGGATCTGTTGTTAAGCATGGAATAACACCACCCACAGAACACATTATATCTGAAAACAAATCAATAATAAATGCCGCGAATTTAATATATTAAATTCAAATTATGTGACAAATCTTGTGACATAACTTAAAATTTTTCCTTGTGGTTAACGAATAATTAAAACAATAAAAAAAAAATATTTAAAGTAATCATATATAATATTTTAACTCATCTGAAAATATATGAAATGTTATGATTTAAATTTTTTTAAATTTTTTTTTTATTTTTTATCCGGATTCCGGGTCAATCCGACCATTTTTTATCCGGATATTTATCCGGGTAAAAACCGTAATTATCCGGATACCTAAAAAAAAAAATTATCCGGGTTTATCCGGTTGAACCCGGCAACGGATCGAAACACTACCGGGCGTTATGCCACGTGATGTACATTAATATCACTTGTCTATTATAAAAGTGGGTGCGCGGTCAACATGTAAATCAAAAGTCAAGTTATCTGTTTATATATAAAAAATTATTAATTGAAATTTTTTTTAATAATAAATAACAATATATCAATTAATTTCTATAATGTAATAATGATAATGCAAATGATATTAATTTAGCAAAGCATTAATACAACATGATTTTACCACCCTTATATATATTTATATTTCATGTTCAATTGGATGTCAGCTTTAACAATTCTGAAAAAAAAACATATAAAGTTTGAGGATACGATTATATTAACAAAGTTACGAGGTCATTTCTTGCATTAACAATAAAATTCTTAAAAAAATCAGACCTCAAGATAGACAAACTATTTAAAGTTCAATTGCAAAATAACTTACTAGTTAACTGAATATAAAAAAAAGCTTCGTAACTTTTGTAAATATAGTTTGGAGAAACTAATAAATGTCAAAATACTTAATAAAGAGGCCACTTTTTATAGTAATTTATGAAAATTTCGTTTATCAAATTTAAACTCTAAAAAATATTTATATTTACATAGTTGACCGCACACCCAATATCACGGGGTTCATATATTACGGCACGTGGTTTCGTGTTAAATTATTTATATGGAGACTATTCTAAACGTATCACGATATAGATTTCAAAGAAGATTGTAATAAATATGGATATATTGACATTACTGAAGATGATGTAACTCTTGTTTTAAAGTTATAATATTAAAAATACAGCTACTTTTAGAATTTATGTTATGATGTTTCAAACATTTTCATTTTATCATTCATCTTTATATAAAAAATATTTATTTAAATCTACTTTAAGCTTCAAAACTTTATGTATTAGATCCGCAACCAGCTCCTTCACAGATGGTAAGTGAAAGATGACGAACGCAATACGTAAAAATATAGACGTAAAAAAAATTGATTATTATGAAATTGTGATTAATTTAGTAAAGTGAAAAATATGTTACATAATAATTAGTATCATTTACTTGTATTTTATTTTAATATTTTTCTTTTTTTTTTAAAAAAAAAAAGAAAAAATTCATTATTATTTCTTTTTATTTCTATATATATTCAATTAGTTAGAATAAAGAAATTAGAAAAATATGTATCTTCCATAGTTTTATTTTTCATATTAAGGCCATTTTAAACTAAATATTAATTTAACGTCCTTTCTGTTTAGAGAATAAATTAAACAAACATGACGAAAATTTTTGGTAAAATTGGAAATATTTGGTACCACTCCCTATAAAAAAATTGTATACGTTTTTTATAAAGTTTTTATACGATTTTTTTTCCTTAGAAATAACGTATCATAATAATATACGGAAAAATGCACAATTCCGTATCACCAAAAATATGGTTTGGATACGGAATTTGCACGGGATTTATATGGAATTTACATGATTTGATCACTGATTTTTTCACGAAATTTATACGATTTGGTCACTGAATTTACTATTTGTATTACAGTTTACTATAATTGTATTTACATAAATCTAATTTCACTTTATTAAATTAAATAAAAAATAAAAAATAAACAAAGTACAAATACATTATGAAAATTCCCTCTTTATTAAAACCACCTATTGCAACCTAAATTATCAGGTTCATTTGTAGTCAAACAACCTAAAAGAACAAAAAAAAAAGATTGGAAACAAAACCCCCATCTGCAATCGTCCAAGTCACCAAAGGTCAGCATTCCTACAAAAAAAGAAAGAGAACTCCAGAATGTCTGACC